CCATACTGACGCGTGCCGTACTGACGCGTGCCGTACTGACGCGTGCCGTACTGACGCGTGCCATACTGACGCGTGCCGTATTGACGCGTGCCGTATTGACGCATGCCGTATTGACGCGTGCTGTATTGACGCGTGCTGTATTGACGCGTGCTGTATTGACGCGTGCTGTATTGACGCGTGCTGTATTGACGCGTGCTATATTGACGCGTGCTATACTGACGCGTGCTATACTGACGCGTGCTATACTGACGCGTGCTATACTGACGCGTGCTATACTGACGCGTGCTATACTGACGCGTGCTATACTGACGCGTGCTGTACTGACGCGTGCTGTACTGACGCGTGCTGTACTGACGCGTGCTATAACGACGCGTGCTATAACGACGCGTGCTATAACGACGCTTACTATACTGACGCGTGCTATACTGACGCGTGCTATGCTGACGCGTGCTATGTTGACGCGTGCTATACTGACGCGTGCTATACTGACGCGTGCTATACAGACGCGTGCTATACTGACGCGTGCTATACTGACGCGTGCTATACTGACGCGTGCTATACTGACGCATGCTTTTTTGTCGCGTGCTGTTTTGTCGCGTGCTGTTTTGCGCGTGCTGTTCTTTCATGGTGCCCTTCTAAATATCTAGAAGTCTGTTATTGCCTCTTTTGCGCTATGAACAGCAATTTCATTTGTCTGTGGACTGGACAAAAACAAGGTACACAGGGGCGCGTGGCAGAACTATGACGATTACGTACGCAGACCGTCAGAAAGTGACCAGTTAAGTAGCTGCCATATCGAATAGAGCGTGGAGTGCTCATTTGTTTTATTTAACACAAGGGTGATCGGTGGCCCAGTGGACTAACGCAGACCAGTTCGGAGCACGTGGAGCGAAAGCTGGCGCTGAAGAACCCAGGGATCATGGGTTCGATCCCCACCCCTGCCGGTTTCGATCTGGATGACCATCATACCGGCATGCTCTCGTGTACTGGGGACCTAACCGGGACACCTGGCGAAGGGGTCGGCGGCTATGGTCGGCCGGCGCCAAGGTCAAGTACGGTGTTGGCCAATGACGGCCGCCACATTTCTCGCCGACCTTTCCGCCGAGTGGCGAAAAGGGGGGAGTGGGTTAGGGCGCCTGCGCGGTGCACGTTTAAGACTGTGGGCTAGCGGTTGTACTCCACTGGCTAAATTTCTCATCTACAGCTGGGAGACAAGTCGCCCATTGGTGCTGACTAACTTCCGTCCGTATAAACATACACAAAACAAAATAGCGTTTTCTTGATAAGAAAAAAAGCCATAAATTAGCAAGGGTGATGCTTATTTGCAAATTGAATTGACCGGCATCTTGTCATAAACCTCAGCAGTCACGCTATGCCAGTTTATCCTGCATAAGAAAATGTTCACTAAGGTACCCACTATTTTAGACCAGATTCAATCTGAGTGCGTGTAGATTTGTGTGAACAATCTTTATCATTCTTTTCTGGGTGATTTTTTGCCTGCATCACGGTGCTGAGTGTAGTAAACAATGTCGGTTAGGAAAACAAGCGTTGATTTTCGCTCAGAGTTTCTATAAAACATAGACTGATGGGGCTTGTCATTAAACTTCCGTGACATTTTGAAAATATTATTGCTTTTAGCTCAGTTGCGTCATTCTTATGTATATTGTAAAACGTATTTCGTAAACCATACTTCACGATATACATATATGGCGACGAGGTGCGGAGTCAACGATTTTATGCACCACATTTTCAACGGCGCAGCCACGATTCAACTTCTAATACTGTGACGCAAAGTGGTACTAATCACGGATATTTTAGGCGACCTACCACACTTCGTGACAACCTTTCGATACAGGTAAAATATATGCGACTGAGGTAAACAAAGGTATGTTGAGTCGTATAAACAGGACGTTTTGTATGAAAATAAATGACGCAATTTCTTACTTTCGGTGCCAGGAAATGAAATTGAATTGTACGAAAAACGATAAAAAAATAAAATAACTTTTTAGTTACTTGTCTCACGGCGGAAATAGCGCCCATTGCCAAAACAACGCGGAAAATATATTCTCAATCTAACGGTTCTAACTGATTCTATCCGGTGCGAATCGGTTTGAACCATTATTGTTGCTCCCCGTGATTGAACCGAAAGCCGTGAACCTGAACCCCGAACCGATGCGAACCGATGCGATAAAAAAAGTTTCGTTCGACACCTTGACCTCACCTAACTATATCCTGATCCTACGGCCTTTTCTTTTTCCGGTAGGCTATTTAGTATCGTGAAATTAAAAATAGATATTGTGAAATCTGCTAGTGAAAAGGATGACACAACCAACATTCAAATGTGCCCGCTCTCTTCAGTGCCGCGACGTCACTGGAAGGCAGGCTTGCAGGTCGAGCGGGCAGTCTAAAAATAGACTATGCGGATCATTTGTTTCGTGCTGTTGCACGGGTGCTAGAGCCAGCTTCCAATGCATTCATTTGACACCATGAAATTGTTTGTAATCAGTTGGAAATAAAGTTTACAGTTCAAAGAGGGAACCCCTACCTTCCGCTGACGTCATTTTTTCAATGTTGCCAGAATAATTTTTTTTTTTGTTGAAGAACTCGGTGAGGAGCAAAGTTGTAAATTCAATAATTTTGCGAACGAAAAATATTTTGGTTCGATATTTGGGTGGCTATTTCAGCGATGTTTGCTGGTATGCTTACCCAGTTTTTAGGCAAATTGGGAATTGTGAAGAAAGCGCCGGAAAACGCCTTTTAAAATCATGTTTCAAAGGCTCCGGTAGTGTGGTACGTGGAAACCGGTAACGGCTTGCTAAAAGTGCCCAATGGTAAAGGTACTGCATTTCGTTAAAATGTTTGGTGAATGCAAAAGCTGGTTGATCCGGATTTTCCAAATCAAATTTGGAGGATTTACGTGCCAAACGACGGGCATCTGGCACGCCCCAGCGGAGGACTAAGGATTAATTTGGACCATTTGGGGATCTTTTGACCCGCAGCCGAAAGCTCGATTACCCGGCGCCTTCTCAGCAATAAGCCTCCGTCAGATTGCGGGCACCTCGGCCGGGATTCGAACGCACCACCTGGGGATACGTAGGCCGGCGCTCTCGCCTCGGAGCCAATCCCAGCGTCATACACGAGACACAAAAGAGCTAGGAACACGGGGCGAGCGCTGGAAGCTAATATATAAAAGTATGCAGAGTAATTTACTTCACTTAGGCGACAGCAGCCGTCCTGGGTCTCCGCTTGGTTCTCTGTCTCGAATGTACAACCCCTGCTATACTGTTCACAGAAAAAAAAAAAAAAAAAGTAAATTACAACACGCATTAAAAATAGCGCCATGGGGTGAGCCTCCTTGAAACTGACGCGCGCCGGCCAATGAGAGCCCATCCATAACATTTTTGCTTCTCTTAGAAAGGAGAATTTATTTGCCGTCTAGCGCGGCTTTTTGCGCGACTTCTAAGCTGAGAGCCATCAGATCGCGGCTTCAGTTCACTCCATTGGGAGAAGAGAATTTAGCTGCCGTTTTTCGCGGCTTCAAAGCTGATGACGTCGGCTCGCTCCAAGACACAGTCGATGCTTTTGCATTAAAAAAAAAAAAACAGAAGAAACGGCGCCAGCTAGAAAAGAGCATGACGCTGCGGTCATGCTACACGGACGCGCGCGCAAGCAGCTTGCGCCTGTTGCGAGCAGCAAGCTCTCTTTATTTTTTATTTTATTCTTTATTCATGAAAAACCCGCAGCGCCTATACAGGCATTATTGCAGGGGGGCACAATGCATTAAAAAAGAGATCCACAGTCTCGCGGCACACCATTTCCGCCGGCAATGAATTCCATTCCGCAATGGTTCGTGCAAAAAAAGGGTGTTTCATAGTGTTTGTTCTGGAGAAGTACGGCTGAACCTTATAACAATGGTCTGTGCGAGCAAAACTGCAAGATGGGGAATGCAGAAACTTTGCAGCACAAATTCCTGTTTGGTTGTGATAAATCGAGTAAAACAATATGAGACGCAGCCTTTTACAACGTTCATTTAAATGCACCCATCCCAGTTCCTTTTTCATTTCAGTTGTGCTACTGAAACGATCGTATCTTCCCAAGACAAACCGAGCAGCAACAGATTGCATACCAAAGCTGTGTGTTGGGCTAGTTGGTATTGGTCTTGGGTTGCCAAAGGCATGGTAGCGCTTTTTTGGACGAGGACAAAAGAAAGAAAGACAAGACAGACACGAGCGCTGCTCGTGTCTGTCTTGTCTTTCTTTCTTTTGTCCTCGTCCAAAAAAGCGCTACCATGCCTTTGGCAACCCAAGATTGCATACATTCTATAGTACTGATACGAACCTGGTAATACGGATCCCACGTATGACGAGCATACTCTAATATCGGTCTAACATACGCTTTATACGCTGCCTCCTTAAGCTCTTTGCTTACATGTTTAAGGTTGCTCGCGTGACTCGTGCCGAGCCAACGAAAGTGACTGTGATGGAACTTCTAGCGCACATAGGGCGCAGCGTCGAAGCTTGGGTTGTGGTAGGACGCACACTCTCACAGCGCCCTTCTCTCCACCCTGCAGTTTTATCAGTTTCCAGAGGCCTCCAGGAGGCGCAGCATGCGTCGACGGCCACTCGCTCCGCTGTTCGTTTTTCATTTCAACCCGATAGTACGATACTACTATCATTGACGTTATAATTTTATGTTTATTTCGAGAATTGATGAATGACATTGTAAGTACGAAAAACCACTGGGTCAGCCATATTTTCCGCAATGTGCATTTCATTTTTACTTCGAGACCACTGAATTGGGATGAGGAAAAGGTGAGTCGATTAAACTTTCACGCAGATAGGTTGTTTCTAAAAACCTACCTCGAAACGCAACTACAATTTTAATGTGGATGTACATAAAACGTGGTGATGAAACGAAGGTTTCATTACCGGAAGTCTAAACAGCCGGTCTATCGAGAAAGGCATCCGAGTAATAAGGAACAAATATAATATATACGGTACCTTTACCAGCACCCTCTTGCATTCGGCAAGCGTCCTTTGCACGTCAGTCACGGTGCAAAGCAGATATGTGACGAGCACGACGTCGACGGAATTGTCTGGAACGTCTGGCATGTCCTCGGCCCAGCCTCGAATCCAGCGCTCCAGCTTCACCTTGGGGTTCTTCCCGAGGTTGGACAGGAAGTCCTCGTCGAACTCGCGACTCGGTTCCACATTCGTGTACCGCACTTTCCGCGTTATGTGCTCAAAGTTTGCGCCATAGCCAGTGCCAATCTCCAGGACTCTGATGGCGCCCTCCTCCTTCAGATCGTCGTCGTGGGACTGGAGGTCGTTCAGCTGGGAGACCACTCGCCGACGAATCCCGTCGAGTTGGTCTCGGGACAAGTGGAGGAGCGCGGGAAAGACCAGGTGCGCACATGCCTGGCGAAACTTCCTGCTCAGCTTCAGCGGTACAAGGAACAAAAGTCCGAACGTCAGGAACCCGTACAGGAAACAGTACGCTGACAAGTTGACGAGTCGGTCCATGGCTCCACCTGCGACAGCTGTTTGTGGGAAGACGGCCGGTAGCAAACTCTGTTTTTGGGCTGCGTGTTGCCTTAAATTCGCGGCGAATAACTTATCTCTCGCTCGTCACCCACCACTCATGAGCTGCTGGTTACATCGACTGATGCTACGTGATGACCGTGTAATTCAACTGACTGACTCACGCACAGAAAAAAAAAAAAGAAAAAAACATCGCAGGATAAAGGCGCATTTAGCGTGCGTCACTGGCATATCCGGTGTTAACGCTCCCCGGCAGCAATGTCCTTCCAAAACAATAAAAATTCAAAAAAAATAAAAAAAAAACGATACGCAAAATTTTGCGTATCTTACTTTTGCGTAGCGTATTTTGCGTAGCGTACCAAAATTTGGCGTAGCGTATTTTGCAAAATCACTGCCCAAGAGCGGGGAGCGAAAACGCACAAAGACGCCTAGTGCCATGACGATGCACTTTTCTTGCTTGATTCGGTCTCGGTCCATCGCGTCGTAGAGTCGGCTGCTGTCAGACTGAACTCCGCCGATTTTTTTAGCTACCTAATCCAAGGGCATCATCGGAATGCGGATGGTTTATTCCTGATTCCGAAATGCTAACTCGTTCCCCCAGATTCACTCTAGTGAAGTAAAGAAGTGATATTTTGTACGCTGTTGAAACCGGAACATCGTCCTCCCTCGTTTTTCCCCGGTTTTCCCCGCCACCGAAACATGACGTCATGGGTAGGCAGCGAGGCGCGCGGCCGGCAATCGGGTACGCTCCTGCTTGCCTTTCTCGCGTCCAACAGCGAGAAAACATAAGCGTCGGTGCTATCTGAAGGAGATAATAATCTATATTCGCACAAGGTATGACCTTGGCTTACCTGCTAAACTACAAGAAAGTAAAAAAAAAAAACGAAAGCAATTGGGATTTTGAAAGACTTCGCTTTTGCAACTCGTTACGCTCAAGCCGCGGCTCGCTGGTTTTGTAAGATCGCTAGCAAATCCCTACTGTTTCTATCAAAAGCTGGCAGTTACGCTGGTGAAGAAATATCGACGAGTCATTCAATACCTTTTTTGAGAAATTACCCGAGTACCACGAAGAGTGCTCGAAATGCGGACACAGGTGCCCCACACGCTCGTCTTAGCTTAGAAGGAACGTACCATTTGATTAAGCATATCTTCAAAAATGTTACTGTTGTAGACGCCAGCACGAGTAACTACTCTTGTAGCATAAATATGCTCCTTGGTGCTTAATGACATTTTCAGCGTTCGTGCGTGTGGCGCGCATTTTGCTCGCCTTCTAAAGCGGTGAACATGCGCGTGCTAGGCTGTGATTCAACACATGTAGGCTGTGATTTTTGTAAACGTTGAAATGTTTGGAAAGGAATGAACTAACTGCATTTGTCAAGGACAGATGGCAGGTTTCTGTTTATAAAAATCGCGCTAAAATAAAAAAAAAACAAAAAAACACAAGAACTCCGCAACCACCAAGCCAGACATAAAGGAGGAATGAAAGGAGTATAAAATACCCCAAATACAGTCATCTTCAAATAAAAATATATGCTCGAAATAGTGCGTAAATAATGCCCTCCTGGCGATGTATGTACTGTGAAAATACATGAATATATAAACAAAAATATTCACAATAAAAGTTTTAGCATAAAATAAGTTAACAAAAGTTACCTCTCAAATTTGTAAACCTGCCCATATTTTTTCTTTTTTTTTTTATTGTTGGAGTAGAATCCAAGACGCTCAAACACTCATCCACGAGTGCACATTGGGAAGGGGTGTAATACCATATAAGAGGTTTTATTTAAAAATAAGTTTGGATTTTGCACAGCCTCCATCAGCTGTAAATTTGCATGACTCTTTTCAAACACATTACTATTTTTATAGTTTTAAGAACTTTCCAGGCCCTATATAATACTTCTCCTCAAGAGAATAAAATAAGAACGTTTCCTCCACGTCTTCTGTAAAAAAAAAAAAAAAAAAAATGCATATCAAACATTTGACAAATCAGGCAATGGCTCAATCGTATATTAATGGGGCTTAGCACCTGCTCCCTAAACCTCTGTAATATCAAACACGAATAAAAATGTGTCGAAAGGAACGTGTAAACTCAGATTTCAACTTTGTTTAGACGTTTCACTTCTGATCTTCAACAGATCGGCCACGTGAGTGGAACTCCGACAGTAGCACGAGATGGATCCGATGTCCACACCAAAAATAGTGTTTAAGAAAAAAAAAAAAAAAAAACTGAAGTAAATGTGAACCACAAATGTGACTGCGCCGAATAGGCTGACCACCTTCCTGTTAGCGAAATGCGGGACATCCGTGGCCGGCGGTGGCGGGGTTCGCGGGGGGGGGGGGGGGGGGGGGGGGGTAGAGGAAATTTATAAACACGTACACAACGACACAACGAACCGAGGCTCTGTTAACGTATTTATTATCCTGTACTGCTTATAGACCTGCTAATTGTATTGCAGCAATTAAGCTCAAATAATTTCCACTACCAGTGATATTTTTAATGCCAAACATGTTATAAATGCGTCAAAGTTTAGGACATAAAAATTGACTGTATCATAACTAACTGCATCAAATGTAAATAATAAACCGTAAATCTTTTTCGGGTCATTGTTTCCTGTCAACGCTTACTTTTACCAACATGGTCCTACAGACTTTTTTTTTACCATTATGTTCTTTTCCGATCGTTGCGAGTGTGACTTTTTTTACTAAAAACAAATCCACAGCAACCCTTCCACATTGACATAGCAATAAGAAAATAATGATAATATTTTGTATTTAAACTTTTGGCGAGATATTTTTCTTACAATATTTTCCACCAAAAGGAGAGAGAGGCACAACGGTGCATGCGCGTCCGTTCTCCTGCAAGAACCACGGTCGATCCCCGCAATGCTTGGATAGAAAATGGCATACCACTGCGATTCACATGATTACCAGTGACCTCGGCGCTTCCATCTGCCCCGTTGATCCGCAGTACCATGAGTTGCAGAGTAAATTTTACGACAGTGTGAAATGCGGGACATTTTGAAGATTTCGAAATTTCTCGCGGGACACGGGACACGAGCCCTCAATGCGGGACAGTCCCGCGAGTCGCGGGACGGGTGGTCACCCTAGCGCCGAATGTGGACTATACTGCTAGAATGGGCATTATCTTTTTGATATTATTAGCGCTCCTCTTTGGACGAATGTTGTTGTGGTCACAGCCGGCTGGGGTCAGCGTTTGCCGCTCTTGATCGAAGCTATTTCAGATGCAGAAGGATTCTCAACTCGCAGCACGCGGCTATAAAGTATGTAGCCGCGTACTCAAGCCTGTAACCCTATGAACTATTCCGAGCATAAGCGGGAATGTTCAATGCGACACCAGTTCTCTCGACATACAGTTCGCGCAAAAACACCTTAACGTGGGTGCATGGCCTCCGTTGCTGCCGGGGAGCGTTTTATGTGTTTTTCCCGCCAAAACACTCGCAAAATAGATTTCCCGGCACTGCTCTTACAATGTACCGCAGAGCGCAGATTGCTACCCGTTGCAAATAAACTTGTATGCTTCAAGCTGGAAAAAAAAAAAATCTCAATCGCTAGCGCCCGGAAAGCCACTTTGTGGCCCGGGTCGCTCGTCCCCCTGCCCGCCGGTGACGTACACGGGTAGAGAAAAGTAAGGATTTTCCATTTTTACCAGTAGTGAGTCGCCTCCTGGCACCTTCGCGGCCGGCGTAATTCGAAAATTCAATAACTTCAAGGGAAATTTTTATTTTTTAAAAATATGTTGGCTATCAGTTGAGCAAGTATTATTGATGCGGTCTGCCGATTTTCAGCAAAATCGAAGACTGTCGAAAATCGCCGGAGTTCCTCTTTAATGTGAAAAGTAGGGGGAGAGATTGAGAGAGAATGCACTTTCTTAAACACAAATTAAGTGTTCAATATGTCCATAGCTTGTTAGACCAAGGTCGTTTGATCTTCTAGTTGCTCCGACGCTAGCCAGGCACCTCAGGAAGTTGGAAGGGGGGGGGGGGGGGGGGGGGGAGTTAGGGAGGAACGGGTTAGATACAGCAACCGGGCACTGTAGAAGGCAATGTTCTAGATTGGCGTATAGGAAGGGAGTTAGGGAAGGAGGGATCGGAACGGCGTCAAAAGTGGTAAAGCCTAGCGGGAGTTAGAAGGGTATTCGTTTGCATCTTTTTAAGGATGCGTTTTTTTTTTTTTTTTTTGACGTCAAGGTTAGGGTGAGGCCGAGGTGGGCGTTGCTGAGAGTAACGGAGCTGTTTGCAGTGAGGTTTGATTCAGCGTTCGTAGATTAAAGCCTAATCGCTTGTCGGGGGGCTAAGCCAGGGGATCACAGGTGCCCGGATATGCATTTCGCGGGTAAATTGATGACCTAGCTCATTACCTGCAATCCCTGCATGACCTGGGACCCACAAAGCCGCCTGTAGAGCCGCCTCAATGTCTGCTCGCAAACCTGGGGGATTTTACGCTGCTGCAGGGCGCGAATGGCAGCCTGGGAGTCCTATAGATCGTATAACTTGGTGTACGAGGCAGTTAGACAAAATCTTGTATAGCACGCACGATGGGAACTAATTCTAGTGTGATGACATTGGGGGGGGGGGGGGGGGCTGTTATATAAACCGCTGGTGTGAACTTGGGGGGGGGGGAGAGGAGGAGGGGGGTTGAGAATTGTGGTGTGTAGGTTGCGTGTGTCGCAGACGGACGCATCAGAATAAGCTATGATTTGTGTGTGAAAGGATGGGTTTTGGTGGTTAGCTTGCACCCTCCTGCGTCTGTCGTCTATATCCGGAGACATATGGTGAGGTACAGGGGCAAAGCGCATGTTTGAGGGTAGGGGTTGGGTATGTATATGTAAGGGAAGTCAATAGGAGAAAGTACTGCCTGATTCAGGATCCATATACCCTACGGTGTTCCTGAGAGGCGGGCTATTTGTCGATCCCGATGTAGCTTCAGAAGAGAGGTGAAGGGGAGGAATAGTCCCTTGTCCT